AGCCCAAGAAGACCAAAGAGGCCCCCAGGGTCGCCCCAAGATCGCCCAAGAGGCCTCCCAGATATGTAGCCCCATGACGGCCCAAGAGGCCCCCTAAGACGGCCCCAAGAGGGCTCCTAGACGGCCCAAGAGGCCTCCAATGCGCCCAAGATGGCCTCCAGGACGGCCCTGAAGCGCCCCAAGAGGGCCCCAAGTCGGTTCAGAGAGGCCTCAAGACGGCTTCTGACGGGCAAGGAACGCCCTAAGACGAAAGAGGCCCTCAAGAATGCTCCAAAGGCCACAAAGTGGCCCAAGGAGGCCCCCACGAAGCTCCCAGGAGGCCCCAAGAGTGCCTCAAGTGGCTCCCAAGAGGCCTCCTCGTCCGACTCCTCCTCTTCCTCATACTCCTCCTCCAATTCCTTCTCCTACCTCTCCTGATCCTCCCTAGGTGTTCCCCGAAGCTGGCTTCGACGGAGACCCATGGCGGTCCCAAGAGAGCGTGTCCCTATTTGGTCCTAAGATGGCCCAGAACGGCCCAAGAGGCGTCCAACCTCTAAGATAATCCAGACTATCCCTGAGAAGATCAAATATATGTGTCGTATATACGTCTTACTGCCTTATCCGCACTATTAGTATCTTGCTTCGTAGTACGTAGATTATGTGTTGTTCCCCGAACGGTTTCCACAACGGCTCGGGGAACAGCTGGTCCGATACCCTTGTCCACCTGCTGCACCGAACCGTTTGACCACATACTCGCATGTGCATCAGCGCCTGGAAGCAAAAAAACACTTAAACCTAAAAAGCCAAGCACGACACCCTCTGGACATCAATAATCGCAAAACATGATTCGAATTGAATGGCATGTGTTGTGAATTACTTTCGTTGTATGACCAGTGAGTCTGTTAGGCGAGCCCAAAGACGGCCAAGCGATGCATCCCAGAACAGGAATTCGACCAAACCGAATTCCTCTCTGTGTGCATTATACCCCGCGTGTTCCCCGAAGATGTTCTGACCCCACTCGGGGAACACATGGCATGATCGCTTGGTCAATCTCTAGCCCAACTTTCGGCCACACAGGCGCTTCCCCAAGACAGGGGGCGGCGGTGATTCGCCTTAGGCGTCTTCGATAATCCAAGAGGGGCTGAAATAGCCCAAGCGCCACAAGAGAGCCCCCAGAGGGCCCCCCACAGAAGTCCAAGCAAGCCCTCAACAGTGAACCTTTGTATGACATCTTTTGTGCGGGCTCTTTCAGGAGCACTAACAACGGGGCCCTTTGAAGCCTTGCAGAGCCTCTGGGTGCCCTTTGGGGGCCTTCTTCAAGACTCTTGGGACTCTCACAGAGCCCGGCGAGAGCTCCAAAGAGCCTCAACAAAAAGCTCGGAGAGAGCTCCAGGATTGTCCCCGGCAGATCCCCAACAATATCATTCCAAGGCACGGTGGCGGGATGGGCCGTGGGCCACAGGATGATCCAAGAGGGGCCTGAAATCGACCGAACACCTTAAGAGAGCACCCGAGAGGGCTCCCACAGAAAATTCTCCAAAAGACGACCCGGTTCGCCTCCCAGGATGGTCCGGACTGCGCTTCATTGAGGCACTCAAGGACGACGAAAGGACCCCGTCTGACCCGGTATGGCCCCAAAATGCCTCCAAGACGGTCCCAGCGGGTGGCGGCAAGAGGCCGCCACGAGGCCTGAGGCTCACAGGGCCCCGAAAAGGCGTATCAGAGGTATCCTCCTCCTCGTCTTCCTCCTGCTGCTCCGCCTCCTCCTCGAATTGTGCTGCATTGTGTTGAATCTTGCACGCGAAAACCCAGCAATACAGGTGCGCACCGGAATGTGTTGCACGCCCCAAATCTACTGCAACCCCACAAATCTATTGCACCAACTCCACTGCACCATCCCCTTTTCGCTGGACCCCTTCTGGGTCAACCAGAAAAAACTTGGCCGAGCTGTGTTCCTTGTTATACGCTTCTTGGGAACCTCATGGGGCTTCGGGAAAATTGTTCGGGGCGTCTGGTCCCAACATTCCCGAACACCTCCGGCCGTCATCTTCATCATGGTATCTTTTTCTTCCAGGGTCGGCGGCCTTCGCAATAGTTCAACGGAGAGCGGTGGGGGGAAGCTTGCCTCGCTGTACAGATGCCTTGGCCCTGCGAGTGCTGCTACCTGGTCACCCCGTGGGCGCCCCCTGTTCGCGAGAGGGAGACGGGTGGGCGAAGTTCAGGGGGAAAGACGGGGGGGGGGTTTCGCCTCCATTCCTCACCCCGCACTACCCCCTCCGCGCTCGGATCCGAGACGCATCTCCGCCCCTCCTAGTGATCTGCACCTTCCGCCCAGGCGGAGGTAGAAGAGGCAAACCCATGATAAGCATGAATGTTCGGAATTCGGCGCGGATTTCCTGGACAGGCGAGAAGGGTGCCTACCGCCGATCCGAGAAGCCCGCGCGGCACTCCAAACGTTTATGCGTGTGGCGTCTTTCCTTCTTCTTGCAGGGCAGCTCCTGGAACTGCGCCTTGTGGAGAAAAGCCAGCGGGACGTTCTGGACTTCCGAGTTAGCCAAGCCTCTCCGGCGGTGGCGCAGGAAAGGAAATGGGGCGACGGGGTGGGTCCTCTGATGAGGCGGGCGTCCTCTTAGCAGGCCTCCCGCCTGTTGAGAACGGCTTCTCATGAAAGGCAGCTGCTGGGAGGTCTGCGTAGGAACGGTTAGTGGCTATTGAGCCCGATCGGGAGGCCACTGATTGTGCCGGATCAACTCAGATGGAGTCCAATATTACACCGTATCAAACATATTCAGCCAGATCAAGCAAGATGATGCCAGAATAGGCCGGTGGTCTAGTGAGCAAGTTCTGCAAACCCGCTTGTTCCCTTTAGGGGAGGGGAGCTTCCCTCCCCCTCCCCCCTCCGCGTGGGTCTGTTCCCCCCCCCCAGCGAGGTGTCAGAGAGTCATGTTCGGCGCCTGGTGGCTCCAAGAGTGCCCCAGAGAGCCCGAGATGGCCTCCAAGATCACTCAGAATGTCCCAGCATTCGGCGGTGGACAAACCTCCCTTTAGTAAACCTCCATTTAGTGAAAACGGCCTAAGACCGAAACCGACGGACATGGACCCGCAAAAATGACGGCCGCGACGCCCTCTCGCGAACCGAACACGGCCAATTCGCAAAACGACGTGTCAGGGTAGGAGGTCTATCCACCCCCGAACCATGATGCAAGATAGCCTCTCACATGTCTCCAAGAGCCCTCAGGATCGCCCCAAGACGGCCCCGAGTGCCCCTCGAGCCTCCAAGGAAACCCCGAGGAGGCCAACACCATTCAAAACCAGTGTGTTGTTGCTGTCTCTTGCCTTCTCGCCTTCTCTCTTCCGATGGGCACTCGAGGCTTCATTACTGCTCCAACCTAGCCCCAAGAGGGGAGGGCCCAAGAGGCTCTTCAGAGGCCCCAGTGGGCTCTTCAAAGGCATCAAGAAGCTCCTCAGAGGCCCGAAGAAGCTCTTCAGGGGCCCCTAGCGGCTCTTCAGAGGCTCAAAGCGACTATTCAGAGGCCCCAAGAGGCTCTTCAGGGGCCCCAAGAGGCTTTTCAGGGGGCCCAGGAAGCTTTTCAAAGGGCCTAAGAGGATCTTTGGAGAGCGCTCAGCGGACCGGAGAGGCTCTTCAGAGCCCGCTTCGCCGTTCTCGAGGATTCGTATACTCCGGAAAACCCTTGGTCGCACCAAAGCCCACCGGGCCCCACGAAAAAACAACCTCTCCGCAGTAGAACCTCATCTGCGGAAGGCCCCCGAGACGCTGCAAAAAGGGGCGCCCAGGAGAGCCCCAAGACAGCCTCAAGAGCGCCCCAAGACCCGAGGAGGAGGAGGAGGAGGAGGAGGAGGAGGAGGAGAAGGTGGAGGAGGAGGAGGATGAGGACGAGAAGGAGGAGGAGGAGGAGGAAGAGGAGGTGGAGGAGGCGGAGGAGGAGGAGGCGGAGGAGGAGGAGGAGGTGGCCCAAGAGGACTCCAAGAGGTGATGTTGCGGGCCCCGACGGGGGAACCACATCGGCGCCCCCCCCCCTCCAAGATGGCCCCAAAGAGGCCTTCCACGGCCCCTAAGAGGGCCCCAAGAGACCCCAGGGAGTCCCAAGATGGCCCCAAAAGAGCACCAACAGGGCCCAAAAGGCTTCCACGATGGCCCCAAGAGGGCCCCTCGATGGCCAGGAGAGACCTCCAAGACGGTCCCAGAGCGAAAGATCGCAAAGGTCTCCATATTGACTCCTGTCGACGCCGTCGTCGTCGTCGCCCCCTCGCTTTTCGCTGCACGCTGCTACGCTTCCCTGACCAAAGCAACTTGCCTGGGCACCGTCACAGCAGCTAGCCCAAGCTTAACATCCAGTCGGCGGTTCGGGGGCAAAGGTTTCCCGCAGCTGCCTGGGATTAGTGGTTGCCCGTCGCCGCTCCCTGCGTGCTGGATGATCAGCGCGCGACTCGTCGCCGCTTGCGCGCCCAAAGCAACGGACGCACCCGAGCAACGACAGACAGCCACTCTACCAAGGCGGCCCCGGGATCGCACAGCGTAGAATAACTAGGCACCGCTGGCAGCGAAAGGCAAACCCTCAACCAGGACGATACACTCCCCTGATCAGAGCAACTCGCCTGGTGTCTGTTTTTGGATTGGCTGTGTTTGGATGGGCATCTCGCCGATATACGGAGCGTCAAGGATTTAACCTCCAAGCGATTGCATCCTAAACAATGGTCATCTTAGAACCCCTCCCGCCTGCTGAGGAAAACTTCCGCGAAGTCCCCAGGTCGGAGATGGACAGAACCCCCTTTAGTACGACGTGGTTTGGTGAAAACGACCTCGGGTCCAAACCTGGCAGGCGCAAGCCTGGAAAATAACGGCCGCGGCGCCCACTCGAGAGCCGAAAACTGACAATTCACTAATCGATGAGTCAAGGTGGGAGGTTCTGTCCACCCCGGGCCAGGCCCGTGTAAGGCGCCCGCTGCCATCTCAGGAAGGCCCCCCCCTAGCCACAACCCCCCTCTGCGCGCCGCCAGGCCTATGTCCACCCACACGCCATCTTCTTGAACGCGAATGACGGTCCCGTTGACGTCTTGCCTTGGTCATCGATGGTGTGCCGAGGCCGCTCTCTTGCCGCGTCCCTGTGTCCAATCTCGTTTCCCCTCCCTCATCCTCCTCCTCTACCCACTTCGCCGTCGCCATGACCTCCTTCGCCCCCTCTCCATGCTGCCCTCTTCCACCACCTTCCCGCTCTTCCCCTCCCCCTCATTCTCCTCCTGCTCTTCCTCCTCCTCTCCATCCCGCGCAGAGTGTAAAAGTGATGAGACAAACATAGATTTGAATCGAACCACGTGGCTGCGCCATGCAGACTTACCCGATCTCGCTACCAGGTACTCAATTTGTCCAGCACGCTGGCGGTGCTGCCAGATCCCAGCTGGCTGACAACACAACTGGTAGCACAAACAGACCCACGAGCGAAGAGTATAAACACCCAAACATTGGGTGGAACGAGAGCACGATAAGCATTCAAAGCCTGCTTATACAGCTGTGGCTCCAGCGCAGAACTGGCCACAGCATATACACGCACGTGTAAAGGAAACGATCTGAACTTGACCATCAAAGCCGTGTTCGAACCTGGGAGTCGTAGACATGATCCAGCGGATCGGGTAGTGATGCGGATGCAACGTTGACCAAGCAACGCGTCGGCATGGCAAGTGCTGTGAGTGGTAAAATGATAATCAACCGCTGCCGACCTTACGCTCCACCGCACCCTGCCACGCGTACATGCAATCCGCCCACCCTGTCGACGTGTGCGAAAGCCTGTTTCGTTTGACTCGTCGTCATCGGGGCCGTCATCGTCGCAATCGCCGCTCCACTCTTTTCCCTGGGCCCGCCTCCTTACGCGAGGCAGCCAAAGCGGTACGGCCTTAGCGAAATTGAGCAACGCCGCAATTGAGTCGAAAGAGACCCCCCCTTCGATCCCTCCCCCGCCGCGAGGGGGGGGGGAAAGGAATCACAGGGGTGGTCCCAGGGGTTGGTCTCAGGGGTGGTCGCTGGGTCAGCACACCATCCAGGGCCAAAGAGGCTCCAGAAGCCCCCGCGAGGCCCCCAAGCGCCCCCAAGGAACTGCCAGAAGCACCAGGAGGCTCCGAAAAAGCTCCCAACCCCAAAAACTGAGTGGGGGTTCTTGGGCACCTCTTGGGGGCCTATTGTAGCCTCTTGGGCACTCTTGGGAGCGTCTAATCCCGACCTTCCCGAATGCCTCTTCCATCGTGGGGGTCGTCGTCCAAGGTCGGCGGCACGGGCCGCAAGGCCTTATCCATGAGGGACATCTGAGGCAACCACCCGACGAGGAAACTTGAGGCTTTTTTTCGACCAGCTTGCCGAATGGAAAGCTCCAGTCTGTCCTCGCCATCGAGACTCTCCCTGCTCACATGGGCCGCAACCCTGCGACTTCCTCGTGCGCCCTCCTGTGCCAAACTGCTGCACTCCACGAGGTGCCGAGAAGCAACAGGCCCGTCGCGCACGGAGCAAAGCACCATAGGCAAGGAGCACAGCAACATCGCAGGACGAGCACCGCGACAGAGCCTTACTGTGCCTCTCTGTGACAGATCTTGGCTGTGCTCCCGATTCCTGAGATCGCTTCGTTGCAACAGCCCCCGAGGTCAAGCCTTGCCACTGCTCCTGATCCCCCAGCTTCTGAGATCCCTGTAATCATGGTTCCTAAGATCAGGCCCCGCCACTGCTCCGCCTGCTCTTTGGCCGAGACGGCGTTTCCGAGCTCAGGCCATTCGAGCATCAACTCGCATTTCTTCAGCAAGACGCACGAATCAGATGGCACGTCATGACACACACCGTGGCGCACGCACTCTGCTGTCGTTCTCGACAGCCTCCGTCGGCGAACGGTACGACACATTGTAGAATTGCCGCGGATGACCACGTGATCATGCAAGCGCACAAAGAGTCAGCATTGAACTTGGTTGACACAATATTGAGGTCCTCTCTACAAGGTCCGACCTATTCGCAAGCTAGGATTGCGTTGGGCAAGCTTGGTCCGCCGCCATGTGAAAATTCACCGCCCCGAGAATCTGCAGCGAAGCTCCGAAGACACACCAAAGCCCAAACATTGACAATAGATCGACCATGCATCCCGCACCCACGACCACCCCAATTGCGAAGCTTTGCCCCCTCCCCCATCATGCTGAGCTAAGCTCTGCGGTCACAATATGGCGACCACCTGTTGCTTCGTTTGCGCGGCCCTTTTCTCAGATTGCACTACCAGGAAGGCACTGGGACAACCCGTCCCTGCACCCTCCTTTGTGAGCTTGATGACGCGCACTTTGACCTGACCCTTCTCCCCCGCCCAGGGCCGCGCACGAAGAGCAAATGGTACGCAGCCGTGCAGAACACGGCCGTGGTGCGCACCGACAGGGCACTGCGCAAGGCAGGCAGAGCGCCCGGTCCAAAAGTGAGATGGATGAGATGGGGCGCCTGAGACCGCTCTTTGTTCACCAGTTTGGGCATCGGGTTCGTGTCCACACAGGGCGTCCAACCATAGCTGCACCGACAGCTGCTCTGCCGGTCGTGCTCTGGCGAGACGACTCGGACCCCCCCCAAGGAGGAATCCATATAAGCCACTGGCGGCACCAATCGGCCCAAAGGTGCTTCAACATGTCTGATGCTTCCAACGGGCCCTGACAGCGTCCCAGGGCAAGGATGAGCCGAAGATCTTCGAACAGACACCAGCGAAGCCCTCAGGCGCTCAAACAGCACCTCAAACTGCAAAATACAGTGACTTCTGAATACGTGGTTGCTCCTGTCTTGGAAATGAGCGTTACGCAAAGCACGACCACCCCAAAAACCTGATCCCTGGAAGTGCACGCTAGATGTGTCTAGGATATTGTGAATCAAAAGTTCCTCGGAGCGATAAGGCTGGCGGCGGATGATCAAATCACATCCACGAATACTTGCGCTCCAGGCAGCAGGTAGGATATGGGGTATGACACACGTACTGGAAGATCAGCCCATCGAACTCTACTTAAAAAGAACTTACATGCTGGCTGGACTCCCCTATACGCTGCGCCACACCGCGTATAGTTGAAACACATCCCCCGACTCTCTGCATCGCAGGGAAAAAACTCGAGCATATGCGTTCTCTCCTCGACGTAACCCCCCCCACACACACTGCACTCCACAATGACACCCTGCATGTTTGCGAAGAGCCCCTGAACATCTTACACAAGTTAGGCCAACATGGAAACTGCGCGAAAACGATCGGTCGACAAACAGAATGGCACGGCGTTCCGAAACGACACGCCGTCGCGCTGCTCGGGGGAAAATCGGGAAATGCCGCGGCAAACGGCGGATTTGAAGGTAAAGGGGGGCCTCCACAGTGTGGTCCGAGCAGACGGGGTTGGAGGATCGCGCCGCATCGCCGATGCATCGGCGAAGATCGGCGACGCCGGCGATGCATCGGCGCCGTCGGCGTGGAAAAAACATCCGGCCCTGTCGGCGCGTGGAAGACGCTCTTCCGTTCGTCGTCGTCGTCGTCGGCGGCGCCGTCGTCGCCGTCACCGTCGCCGCGGGTCCTGGGGCCCAGAAAACCACAAAAGCTGCAGACAGTGCCCCTTAGAGACCTCCCAGAGGGTCCAGGAAGGCAGCGAGTACGGCACATATGGCCTCCGAACAGTCCAAAACACCTCCCACACGCTCCACGAGGTCTCCAAGAACATTCCGAAAAAGGGCCCCCGAAGGACAAAATCCTAGGCTGTCTTTTGTTGGGGGCCTCTTGGCGGCCCCGATGGCCTGTTTCTATACAATCAACCCTGCCCTCCCGGAGCGCTCCTGAAAATTATTGCGAAGCATATACTGCGTCCGCCACTCGCCGCTTCTCGGTGAAGCAGCACCCAGACATGGCACCGCCGGCCCCGCGGCCTCCTTGAGCGAACCCGGTGGCGCCTGCCACGGGGAGGCTCCATGGGCCCGCGCCCAGGAGCGAAAACCTCCAGCGCCTTTCCAGACAAAAACAAGCCCTCGACGGGGAGGAGGAGGAGGAGGAGGAGGAGGAGGAGGAGGAGGAGGAGGAGGGGCGAGGAGGAGGAGGAGAAGGAGGGGCGAGGAGGAGGAAGGAGGAGGGAGGAGGAAGGAGGACGGAGGAAGACGGAGGAGGAAAACGTCACTGCGGCCTGTTGCCGCCGGGCAAGAGCAACGAACTTGCGCCTCCGAGACATGACTCGGGGGCGTGCTTCAAAATGCTGCGTTTGGCTGCCAGGGGTGTCCAAACGGCGGCAGTGGTGAAGCGGAACAAGCGCATCAACGTACGCGGAGAACAGAACATTCGACGACATCGGTGATGGTGAGAGCAGGGGGAGGGGGAGAAGCCAGGGCGAACCCTCAGGAAACCACGGCGACGAAACAAAGCCATGACCGAGCCAATATCTGAACAAGGATGCGGGTCGAGGACAACACAAGCATTGCTCGACCGAATCGAAGGTCCTCATTACCACCGCGTGGACACCCCACAGCGCACCCCGCAGACCTGGCCTTAAACCTCCTGGAGGTGCAAAGGCCTCGGCACAAGAAACGCAGGGTGCCCACGAAATAGCCTCACCCCCTGGCCCAACAGTGCCATCAGCATATCCTCACTACCCTGGTTTTGAAGTGCTAACGGGCTGCTATCCTCACGCGCCATATATAAATCTATCATCAAAACTCCCTGGCCATTGAGTTCATTCAGTTCAGGTCTATTCGCCTAACCAACGTCAGAGTATGTACTGTGCCAATATCGGAGATTGGGGGGGTGAGATCGCAAAGGAACGGAGAGCCCCAACCGGGAAATCGTTTCGTTTCGTTCGTGTCGTGCGGGCGGGCGAGGCGAAGCTGCGTGGGCGCGCGAGAGGAATAAACTCGCCGCTGCTAAGGCGAATTCAAGACAAATGTTGCTCCGCCGTCCGTCCGTCCGTCCGTCCGGCGGTGGCCCTACGAGTGTCCCGTGGTGTCCCGTGGTGTCCGCCCTCGCTAGGCCGAAGTCAAGACAAATGTTGTTCCCCCGTCCGTCCGTCCGTCCGCCCGGCGGTGGCCCTACCAGTGTCCTGCGGTGTACCGTGGTGTCCCGTTGAAAGAGATCGATAGTGAGATCGATTTTGAGATCGATACCGAGATCGATGTGTTGCCCTGAGGTGTCCCGTGGTGTCCCAAAAAGTGAGATCGATAGTGAGATCGATAGTGAGATCGACAAGTGTCCCTTGGTGTCCCGTTGAGTGAGATCGATATACAATGAGATCGATGTGGTGCCCCGATGTGTCCCGTGGTGGCCCAAACAATGAGATCGATAAGGAGATCGATAATGAGATCGACAGGTGTTCCGTGGTGTCCCGTGGTGTCCCGTTCGGTGGGATCGATAGTGAGAACAATCGTGAGATCGATGTGGTGTCCCGAGGTGTACCGTGGTGTCCTATGGTGTCCTATGGTGTCTCGTTGAGTGGGATCGATACTGATATCGATAGTGAGACCGATAGCGAGATCGAGAAATGTCCCCCGGTGTCCCGTGGTGTCCCGTGGTGGCCCGTGGTGTCCGGTTCAATGAGATCCATAATGGGATCTGTAGTAACATCGACATGTGTCCCGTGATGTCCCGTGGCGTCCCGTCGAATGATATTGATAGTGAAATCGATTGAGTCAGATGTTGGTTCGCCCCCTCTCACCCACCCAACAACCTCCTTATCACCCGAAGGGTGGTCGTATAGGTACGGTTGTGTTTTGGTGATCGCAAAACACCTGTGAGCGAACACCCTTTCGTACAGACGGGCCTGGAGCTTGTCCATACCAGCACCCAAAGAAGAGGGAATAGTGTGGCTCAAGAATCTAATCCTCCACCACCCACAGCAAACACGATGCACCACATGATCATCAGCATGCTCAAGGTCCCGAATATGTTCAACCACAGCCTCAATTCCCTCATTCCTGACCAAAGACCGCAGACACACAGCCCGCGAGAGAGAGACCAGGTCTTGAAACTACACGGGCAGGCGTAACTGATGGAGCTGGGTGCACTGTGCGTAGCTGAAAGCATTGCGAAGAACAGCCGTAGGGTACATCACCGACTCACGCAAACAACTCACCAGCTCTTTTGACGCAGAGTGAAACTGGAGAATGAACCATATGACCGAAACGCACATCACCCAGGACGCCACAGCGGCCCTAATAAGGCCCAACCCCAGATAAGGGGTACCCCCACGCGTGCACAACATCCTACCAACCCTCTGGACGTAGGTGGTATACGGCGATTCCACTTCCAACCCACGTCTTCCCTTTTTCGGGAAGGGGTTTATCACTGTTCCCTATTAATCAACACCCCCTCCCCCAGGCGACCGGGGGCCAACCAAGGTCCATGCCGACACCCCCCACCATCCCCTGCAAAAAACAATACAAAACACAATCTGCCTCCAAATTCGGAACACGCGCAGCCAACCCGATGCGGCCCCCCCCCACCATCCCTGCCAACAAACAATACAGAGTACACTTGGCGGCGGCGGCGGCGGCTGCGGCGGCTGCGGCGGCGGTGGCGGCGGTGGCGGCGGCTGCGGCGGCGGCGGCGGCGGCGGCAGCGGCGGGGGCGGGGGGGGGGCGGCGGCGGCGGCGGCGGCGCGGCGGCGGCAGCGGCAGCGGCAGCGGCGGAGGCGGCGGCGGTTTGGCGGGGGGCGGCGGCGGCGGCGGCGGCGCGGCGGCGGCGGCGGCGGCGGCGGCGCGGCGGCGGGCGGCGGCGGCGGCGGCTGAGGCTGAGGCGGCGGCGGCGGCGGCGGCGGCGGCGGCAGCGGTGGCGGCAGCGGTTGCGGCGGCGGTTTGGCAGCGGGGGGCGGCGGCGGCGGCGGCGGCGGCGGCGGATTGGCCCCCAGTTACTGCTCATCCCAAAGCGACTGCTGAATATGCCCAGGCTCGGGCCAGACCCGGGTGCTACGTATGTGTTGGGAGGGCGGGTGGGAGTGAGCGAGACGGCTTGCGGGCGGGGAGGGGGTAATTTGGCCTTTCCTCCTACCCCCTCCCCTGCACCTGGACGGGGGTGGTCCAAAACGGCCCCTGCGAGGATGCCAACATCAGTGGTTTTACTCTGGTGCTGGCCCCATTCTGGCCTCTCGGCAAAAAAACATGACTAAAAGGAGCCCACCTTTGTTTCATCCATGTCCCCCAAGATGGCACCAAAAAGCGCCCATGAGGCCCCACGAGGCTCCAAGATGGCCCCAAGATGGCCCCAAAATGCCTCCAAGAGGCCTCGAGGAGGCCCCCAAGAGGACCCCAATCGGACCCAAGATGTCTCCCCGAGGCGCCCAAGACGCCCAACAACCCCCA